GGTGCTTTAAAACATAGATCACACCTATAATCCCAACACTTTGGGAAGCTGAGGTGGGTGGGTGGACGGCTTGAGCCCAGAAGTTTGAAACCAGCCTGGGCAACATAGTGAGACTCTGTCTCTACAAAAAAAAAAAAAAAAAAAAAATTAAAAATTAGCCAGATGTGATGGTGCATGGCTGTGGTCCCAGCTACTCAGGAGGCTGAGGTAGGAGGACTGCTTGAACCCAGCAGTTCAAGGCTGCAATGAGACATGATTGCACCACTGCACTTCAGCCTGGGTGACAGACTGAGACCCTGTCTCAAAATAAATAAAAATTAAAATAAAATAAATGTCATCCATGATTCACTGTTGACTGTGCTATTTCTTCTGGGTTATTTGCTCAAATGTCACAGAATGTCATGGTTCTGGAGGCTTAAGCAGGAGGAGTAACACTGGACTAATTTCAGCCAGTGAATTAACCCCCATTACCTCTCAGAACCATCTAACCCTGGGATATGTAAGAATGAGTGTATTATCTCATTCATGTAGGACCTGAGAGTATTTTCTGATTTTCCCATGACATTTATGTCTCTGTTTTCCCTTTGCCGTGAAAAATATGGAGATCTTATTGTTTTGAGCAGAGTCATTGCAAGATTAGCAGAGAAAGATTGGTGGGCATAATCTGATCAGACAGTGACAGCATGAGTTTCTGATTATTAAAATACGTAACATTTCAGGTGATACTACGTTTTATATATAATCGTATATGTAATTATAGCCAGGCGTGGTGGCTCACGCCTGTAATCCCAGCACTTTGGGAGGCCAAAGTGGGCAGATCACAGGCTCAGGAGTTTGAGATCAGCCTGTCCAACATGGTGAAACCCCGTCCCTACTAAAAAAAAAAAAAAAAAAAAAAAATTAGCTGGGCATGGTGGCGTGCGCCTGTAATCCTAGACATTCAGGAGGCTGAGGCAGGAGAATCGCTTGAACCCAGGAGGCGGAGGTTGCAGTGAGCAGAGATTGCACCATTGCACTCCAGCCTGGGTGACAGAGAAGACTCCGTCTCTCTCTCTCTCTCTCTCTATATATATATATGTATGTATGTATGTAATTATATAATAATCACGCAATAATTTTACAAAGATGTCTTGGTGTCAATTCAGTAAATACATACTATTTTGTGCGAAATATTATGCTGGAAGAGAAATGTTTAACAGAAAACTGACATATAAAACAAACTTTTTCAAGGAGTTTATGCTCTAAGAAAAAGGGATTAAAGTATCCAAATAATACAGGCAGATATAAGATTAAGGTAATAAGGGAGGAACAAACTGCCATTAGGGATCCCAAGGATGGAGAGATGATATTTGGCTGCAGGGGATTAAGAATATCATAATGAAAGTTGAGTAGAGCTTTTAGATAAGTTACGGATGGAAAAGAACAGAAAACACATTTTCACTGAACGTTAGGTGAGCTTATGAAATAACTCTGAAACTATAAGCTAGGACCAGAGTATCTGAAATCACTTCAGTTTCCACTTTTGAAGCAAACATAATCCTTTAAAAAATTAGCTAGGGCTGCTGTAACACAGCCATAAACTTGGTGGCTTAAACAACAGAAATTTATTGTCTCACAGCTCTGGAGCCCAGAAGTCTGAGATTAAGATGTTGTCAGGGTTGGTTCCTTCTGAAGGCCACAAGGGACACTGCTCCATGCCTGATCCCTAACTTGGTGGGGTCTGCCAGCGATCTTGCATTCCCGGACTGTGGACACATCACCCCAAGCTCTGTCTTCACATTCACATGGTGCTCCTTCTCCCTGTGCGCATTTATGTCCAAATTTCCCCTTTTGATAAGGACACCAGTCATATTGGATTAGTGCCCACCATAATGACTTCATTTTAACATGATTCTCTCTGTAAAAACTATCTCCAAATGAGGTCACATTCTGAGGTACTGGGGGGTAGGACTTCAACCATTCTTTTTTAGGGGACACAATTCAGCCCATAGCAGTAATACACACATTCACGCACACGCACACAGTTTCATATAGCATGTGCCTTTTAACTTTCCCACCCCCCCAAGACAGGGTCTCAGTGTCACCCAGGCTGGAGTGCAGTGGTGCCAGTAGCTGGAACTGTAGGTGTGTGCCACCACACTCAGCTAATTTTTACTTTTTTTTTTTTTTTTTTTGGTAGTGATGGTGGTTTCACCATGTTGCCCAGGCTGGTCTTGAATTCCTGGGCTCAAGAGATCCACTCCCCTCAGCCTCCCAAAGTGCTGGGATTACAGGCGTGAGCCACCACGCCCAATGCAAGTGTCTTTTAAAAAGTGATGTTGAGAGTCAGGTGTTTATCCTAAATCAGGTCATGGAACATAACAGAAAAAAATATAAAAAGAAATGTTCTAGCTCAGTAGCTTCTCACATAGTTTACTGATGTAACAATCTGCCTTCAGACTCCCTCTCTCACAGTCTAAAGATGAACAGGTTGTACCTGAGATTAGAGAAAGTATAACAACTCATTTGTACGAAGCATTACAGTTTAGAAAGTATTTTCTCACACTGCATTTCATTTGATCTTCAATTCTCTCAAGACAATTAAGTCAGCAAGGTAGATATCACATTACCAGCAAGCATATGAATGAATGAAGTCCAAGAGGGGTTCAGTGAAATATTTTAGGGCCCCACTTTAGATGAATACAGATGGCAACACAATTCAGGTGTTCTGAATTACAGCCCAGATATTTTTCATTCCATCATGATGTACCCAAAAAGAATGAAAGTACAGTTATCACTTTTATTTGTCCTTCATTTGGAAAAATTTGTCTCGGATGCAGCCTACTGAAGAGTGTATTGACTGATGATTCAGTTCCGTTGATAAGATTATCTGGGAGTTCTTGGTATAGGCATGAGGGGAGTTGTAATTAAATAACTGGCAGTGGTATCACTATGGGACTGATGGGCAGAAACAAAGAGCTGCCTCTACTCGCTGAGCTAAAGGCTACCTTCATAACTATGAAAATAACATAGAAGTCGGCTCCGCATTTTTTGTGGGACTGAGTCGACTCTTACTTGGTGGCAGATTGGTTTAGAAGCATGAATCTTGGATTGACTTATTCAGATATTAGTCATATTATTTGTAGACCATCCATCAAAGGTCTTGCTTGTTTCCTTTTGGAATATTTAAAATACAAAGATTCTAATTCAATCCAGCAGAAAAAGCCCTTGTGCTGTAAATACAGGTAAATAACTGGGTCCAAAAGGCCACACTTCTCTGTTTTTTTCTTAATTTTTGTTGCTTTTCCTTTTTCAAAAATGTTAACATAAAACAATGTTTCTATTTATTGAGAAAAAACATTTGCCAAGAACCATGTTCAGCACTTTATATCAACCTTTCCAGACCATCCCATTTTACAGAATAACGGTAAGGCCCAGTTAGCTGGGGGGCTTCAGCCACGCTGGAATTTGAACCCAGACCTTTCTGACTCCATAGAACATTTTTATTTCTTTCTATGAGGGGAGGTAGGAAGGGAATGGGGTGTTGACAGCTTTATAGAGATGTAATTCACATTCCATATAATTAATCAGCTAGGGGCGAATAATCCAAAATACAGAAAGAACTCATATAACTCAATAACAAAAATATAATTCAATTTTAAAAATGGGCAAAGGACCTACATAGACACTTCTCAAAAGAAATTCGAATAGCTAACAGGTATATGAGTAAGTGCTCAACATCTCCAGTCACGACGGAAATGCTAATCAAACCAGGAGATACAGCCTCACATCTGGTAGAATGAATAGTATCAAACGTCAAAGATAAGCGCTAGTGAGGATGAAAAGAGGAAGCGCTTGTATGCTGCTGGCAGGGATGTAAATTATAGAAAACAATATGGAGCTTCCCCCAAAAAATTGAAAATAAAAAATTCTGGGTATATACCCAAAGGAATTGAAATCAAGATTGCAAAGAGATATCTGCACTCCTATGTTCATTGCAGCATTACTCAATGTCCTTTGGCAGATGAATAAAGATAGGGTTTATAAAAATACAATTAAATATTGCTCAGCCTTATCAAAGGAAGAAATCCTGCCATTCGGAACATGAAGGACATTATGCTGAGCAAAATTAAAATAGGCAAGACCACAGAAAGAGAAATACTGCATGATCATCTCACTTGCATGTGAAATCTGAGTCAAATCCATAGAAGCAGAGGGTAAGATGGTTGCCAGGGGCTGAGGGAAGGGGGAAATGGAGTGATATTGGTCAAATGGTACAAAGTTTCAGTGATACATGATTTCTGGAGATCCAATGTACAGCACGGTGATGACAGCTCAGTACTGTATTACATACTTGTAATTTGTTAAGATCTTAAATCTTCTCATCACACATACATACACAATACATACACAATGGTAATTATGTAGAGATAATGAAGATATTAATTAGCTTGACTGTAGTGATCATTTCAGAATGCATATCAAAACATCAGGTTGTACATCCTAAATCTATTTCAGAGGTTCAGAGGTTTCAAGGAGAAAACAAGACTTTAAATTATCTGTATTTAGTTACTGCTAAAGTGTCTTAAAGTAGTAGTGATGAATAGTTATAAGTAGCAACCATATAAGCAAGCAGTCCTGTCAGACTGTTCCAGCACAGTATTTCAGCTCACTGCTTATATACAGGTGGTAGGGTTCATGTAGATCAAAATCACATCAAACTTGCTCAAAAGTTACATTCAAGCAGAATCTCATCAAGGTTTAGGTGTAAGAGTACATCTGGTTATGGATTACAGAAGCATAATCACTAATCCTATCAGACTTTATCTCATGTGTAGGAAAAGGCAAGGACTGGGGTCACTTAAGGAATATAGTGACTCAGGCAAGAGACGTAGGGGTGCCCTGTGCTTTATGCTATTTTGTCTTCAAGGCATCTTTCCAGAGAGTTGCATGTCGTCACAGGGTCAGGGGCTTTGTGAAATGACGCTGGCAGGCAGAAATGAGCAGACCTGGGTTCTTACCTTTGCTGCTTTGTCTCACTCCACCTGGCTCAGCGCTCGGCATGTAGTCAACACCGACTGCAGTGGGAGGCCATACAGATACTATGTGAGAGTGTGATCTTTGGAACCACATTGATTGGGTTAGCATCCTGGTGCCAACACCTATGAGCTGTGACCTTGGCAAGTTACTTCATCTCCAATGACCTCATTTTCTTTATTGGTAAAATAGGGATAATTCACAGGACTGTGGTGGTTTTACAATGAAAGGTAAAGCCCAAAGTACTTGATGAATTTTAGCTATTACTGTTATTCATGGAAGCAGCTTAAACATCAGTGCACCTAAAAAAAGTTTCACAGGTGAATTGCACTAACAATTAGATAAGAACATTTGATGTAAAAATGTTGAGACAGCTTTGTATGGAAACCAAGAACATATCTACTCATTTCTTTATTCTCACCTCCATTTTCTTAGAGATCAAAAGAAATCATAATCCTATTTTATTGCTTTTGACGAAAAGTTTCAGGAAGCAGATCTTGGCCTATGCTTTCAGATGTTTTCCACATACTTTGGGAATTTCACTGCTAGAGTATTAGTCTTATACAGAACTCCTACACAACCAAATCATGGACTCGCAGCAGTAAAGCTACCCTATTTATGTTAAAAGTTAAACTTGGTTTATTTTGGCTCTGTGGAATGCCTACTCATTTTACATGTACTTTCTAAGTACTTCTTTATTGATAGACCTTTCTTACGAAGTAATATTGAAATATAAACTATTCACAAAGCACAATTTGTCCCCTAATCTTCTTGCAGATGGTTTAGAATTAGTAGGAATATAAGCCAATGGGAAACGTGTGTCTCACCATCTAACTATTAGACTTGCTCTGAAGTTAGTGAGTTTTCATGGAACTCAATTACTAGTTATCCCAGCAGTAAATGTAAAAGCTGACATTTCTGAAGAAGCACTTATTCTACCAATTATCCCAACATATTATAAAGCTCAGCCCATAAACCAGGAAACTTGCTGTTGGCTTCTGGCTAGGTTTTCCCAGTGGGTTTACTGTGTGACTCAGGGATACTATTCCACTGGCGAGTTTCCTCCACTGTCCAGCTACATACCGCTGCATCCTAGTTTCCAAGAGAAAAAGGAGAGGGGACGCATGAGTTCTTTTTCTCCGAGACGGAGTCTCGCTCTGTTGCCAGGCTGGAGTGCAGTGACACTATCTCAGCTCGCTGCAGCCTCCACTGGTTCAAGCAATTCTCCTGCCTCAGCCTCCTGAATAGCTAGGACTACAGGTGCACACCACCAAGACTAATTTTTTTTTTTGGTATTTTTAGTAGAGAAAGGGTTTCACCATGTTGGCCAGGATGGTCTCAATCTCTTGACCTCGCGATCGTAGACTGCTGTGCCAGGCACCAAAAAGCCGAGAGCCTTTTGAAGTGAGGCCAATGCCAACTGAAAAGAGCGAGCCCTCCCTACTGCTACAACCCAAATTAGTCCTCTAGAGCAAAAGGTCTCTCTCTAGCAGGAGGTTATTTTGCCCCAAACTGTCATGTCTTTATACTGAAAAAGAAGAGTTTCTTTTTTTTTTCTTTTTGAGACAGAGTTTAGTTCTGTGGCCCAGGCAGGAGTGCAGTGGTGCGATCTTAGCTCACTGCAACCTCCGCCCAATCGATTCTCCTGCCTCAGCCTCCTGAGTAGCTGGGATTACAAGTGCCTGCCACCACGCCCAGCTAATTTTTGTATTTTTAGTAGACACAGGGTTTCACTGTGTTAGCCAGGCTGTTCTCAAACTCCTGACCTCATGATCCACCCAACTAGGCCTCCCAAAGTGCTGGGATTATAGGCGTGAGCCACCGCACCTGGCCGAGAAAGAGTGTTTTCTAAATCCTTCTCTCTTTTCAAAATTCCTCAACAGAACTCATCACCACTATATTTCTTCATGGTAGTATACCTAAAATTGATTAATTAGCATATAAAAGAATATAAATTCATTTCACAGCACCACAAGTTATAGTTTATTACACAATAGCCAGAGGCAAAGTATTTGCAAACAATAACTGCTGTAGAACTATATTCTCTAATATTTTGTCATTTCAAGAATTATTCTTTAACAAATGTAACATTTAACATTACAAAAAAGAAAACAGACAAAGTTACAAAGAGCAAAGGCAGTAATACTGTTTCTCTAGCTATAAATAATACAAAAATATAAAAATATATAAAAATAAGTTTTTTGTAGTAATATAAGCTTAATACATAACACATAACTATATAAACACATTCAATAACTATCTACTGAGCTACTTACTGTGTAGCTACTACTGTGAAATAACTAAAATTCAGTATGAGAGTCTTGGATTTACAATACTGTATTTTTTCACAGATCTCTTCATCCGCTTAATTTTCTTCCCTAAGATTTGGTGATCTTGCTTTAAAATATACCGAAAATATCTACAACCTAAAAAGTAAAGCAAAATAAAAAGTTTTAATACTCATCACATTTTCACATTTTTCAAGTATATTTCTACATTTTTAAATTTTTGCTTTAAGTTTAGCACACTAATGACTATGAAAATAGATTTATTTGTATTATCAATATGTCCTAAGCATATTCTCAGCTGTGCCCAATGAAATATATTTCTTCCTATATACAAAATGTATTTGCATTACCAATATGGCGAAAGTATATTCTCAACTGTGCCCAATGAAATATATTTCTTCCCATACACAAAGATGTTTGTAATCCATCATAATTAAAGCATAGACTTTAGCTTGTTTTCTACCCTTCCTCCTACACCCTAGTGATGGTGATAGGTATATTATATACAGTCACATATTAAATGAGCCTTCTGCAAAAGCACATTTGTACAGCTTCCTTCTCAATGTTAGCTTGTAAATCAGTCAAAGTTACATTCATAACAGTAAGAAAGTTCTCTGTAGAAAATCTTGGTGTGAAGGATTAGCATAAACAAATCATAGGTTAGAAATGGTCAAACATTATCTATTCATTCTAGCCATGTAGCGAGCAGCAAGGTGGAGACCACGTAGCTCTGACGGAGGGGCCTCATGCTCATTAGAAGTTCCACCTGCTCTTCATAGTCTTACAACACACAGGACTGTCAAGCATTTGTCAAATATTTCAGACAAATGAATCATATTTCCGTAAGAAAAACGTAAACTGGATATTGAGGATTTTTAGAGTTGGTAAATGAATAAGACCATAAATCACATAAGAAACATTAATTTCATTACAGTTTCAGCTTGTATGCATCCATCTTACCTGAGAAAATGCAAGGACATATACTGTATCTATAGTAACCATTTTTTATTATTCCTGAAACTAGTATGCCAGAATTGCTAACATTTTTGTTTTGTTGTTTTTCCTGAGATGGGGTCTCACTATGTGACACAAACTGGTCTCAAACTCCTGGGTTCAACCAATCCTCCCACCTCAGCCTCCCAAGTAGCCAGGATTATAGGCGCACTGCATGCCACCACACCCAGCTAGTAACATTTTACTAGCTGGGAAGCAGTGGTGTCTGTAGTATCACCAAAATAATTTGTGTTTCTAAACATATCATACTACCTTAGTAAAAAACAAAATATTTTGCACACAAATTTTTGCCTGTACCTATATAGAAATCTGGAAAGAACTTCGTTCCCACCCTAACATAGAGAAAAAGCTTTAAAAACTACAAATATTAACTCTCAAGTCCATGAGAGCTGAAGTCACAGGGCAACCAAGTAACTTCAATCCCAACAAAGAAAGGCCCCTCCAAGGAGAAATGGGCCTGGCTTGCTTTTAGCGAGACATGGAAAGAAAGAGAGCCATCATACCCCACTCTAAGCACAAAGCAAAGGCAGACCATGCCTAGAATTTGAATCCTATAAAGTAAGGTTGGTAACCAGAGCAAGAAGCAAGCCCAACTTAACTAATGAATAGACTCATTTAACCCCACACTAACAGCCTGAGAGGAGATGTGGCTCTTGCGGGAGTAACTGATGCCTCATATTTGTAGAGCACTTTAGAAATTACGAAGCACTTTGATGTGATGTTCACATGATACTTACAACAATAAGACGGGTGTTACAATGCCCACTTCACAGAAAAGGCTCCTAAAAGTTAATTGCTTGATCTAAGTTACATAGCAAGTCAGTGAGAGAATTGGAAAATTAACCCAGATCTTTCCTTTTTTTTTTTTTTTTTTGGAGTCTCGCTCTGTCACCCAGGCTGGAGTGCAGTGGCATGTTCTTGGCTCACTGCAACCTCCACCTCCCGTAACCCAGATCCTTCTACTCTGCTGAAAGAGACCTGTTGATAATTGTGCTAGATGCCTCTCTACTCATAAAGTAGTAGAAAAATGACAATCCAAATCACCTTTCTGTTCCTTGTCATGAGTGTATCAGAGAATTTTTATTTTCTTCTTAATCAACATTTTATTACATTCACTGAGACTACTAATTCCAAAATAACAGAAACTATATTCAAAAATGAATTGGAGAATCTCTTCAGGACACCTTAAGCTCCCTAGCAACGGACTGCTTACTAGTGGTCACTGTAAGATTTATTTTCTTCGTTTCTGGACATACTCTGTGATAGTTTCATTTCGGTACTGGCCACCTTTCCAATATTTCAGTGGTAGAAAGCAGGTAAGAGTTTTACCACCCAAAATATTTCTTTTCTTTGAAGAAAAAATCAATATTCCTTTTCTTTGAAGATAATTTTTTTCATATGCTAGTAGAAGGTATTCTTTTTCTTAAGTGGAAGAAATGTTTCGTGCTTACAAAAATAGACAAGTAAATATTGGTATAATATGAAGCTATTAAAGAACAGTGAGGTCAATAAAGAATATTTTGATACTTGAAAATATCAGTAAACTTTCTATAAAACAAGGCTAAATGGTCAATTCTTGTGAAAAGTTTGTATCATGTATCTTAATGCCCCCTAACAACACTCAAGTCAGGAGATGAAAACCATTCATAATCAATGATATGAAATCACTGCTTCTAATCTAAGCACGTGACCTGATCCCAACTCAGGATTCACTCTTCCATTAAGCAGTTATGTCTTAAGCACCCAGTATTTTTAGGTACCACATTAGGTAAGCTCTAAATGAATTATTCCAAAATCAGCCAAAAGCTATGTCTAGATAAAACGAAAACAAAAACATGTACCTTTTCCTAACAGTAATCCAGCCACAAAAGCTTTCTCACAGGCCAAAGCTGTATCTTCCTTCCAATCACTTTTTGCCCAAAAGTAGCTGAAATGAAAGTTTGGCCACCAGTTTTTCCTGGAGTTCCACTCGTCTTGAACCCACGCAAGGTGGTTTCTGGAAAAGAAAAATGTCAAAAGAGAGGGTCAATGATGTGAACAAATCTATATTACCAGAATTTAGACTTAGAGTCTACAGAAAGATGACAAGGAAGATGTTTCCAAGCTAAATTCTGAATATGGCCAAGGCATAACACATGATTGGCAACAACAGGAAAGCAAATCCTTTTTTGTTCTCTTCTATCTCCATATCCCATTTTCCATTTCACTAAACAGACAGTTTAGCACAGTGTCTTCGAGTCTGTGCTAAGACTCAAAGCCAGACTCCTGGATTCAAATATCAGCTCTTCCATTTACTATGTATGTGATCCTGGGCAAGTTGCTGAACCTCTCTGAGCTTCAGTGCCCTTGAGGACATTAGCAGTACTGATCTCATAGGACTGTTATTAAGATTAAACTATTCCAGTAGTAGGGTACAGCAGGTCTTACATAAAGCTCTTTGCATAGTGTCTGGTACATAGTAAATATTCAGTCAACATTATTTATTACTATTACTTAAGTAAAAGCTTACTTAAAATTATATGCTGCCATGAATGACTATGCAAATTAAGATGCCCTTATTATACAAATACATGAACAAATAGGTTAAACTGTTAAGTGCAGGCAATCCTATGTGTCAGTGAATAATTTATTCATTGCATATATTTAAGATATACAACATGTTTTATATACATAAACTTTTTTGTGTGGTGGGAACACCTGAACTCTACTCATAGTAAATTTCCTATACGCAATACAATATTAACTACAGTCTGTGTTGCACATTAGATCTCTATAATTTAATTGAGCAAATGTTTATTGGCACCCATGTGCCCCCTATGGTAGAACAAACAGCAGTTCGAAAAAATGAGCCTCTTTGCTTTCAAGGACCTTATAATCTAGTAGTTTATTCAGTGCTTGAGAT